TTGCAAAGCCCAACGGAGAAACGCACCCCTACGACCCCCTCGTAGTTTGGCGTGGGCAGTTGCGTGTCTCCCACGTCTCATTTCCGTTTCACGCGTTAGTGCCACCAGTGCCCGACGGCCCCTGTTAGAGCTACAATAACTCTCCACCGAGTTTGGAAGCATACGCATGTGAAGCGATTCTACAATTGCTGCCAACAGTGCGAGGCCTGTCCTGGTCTAGATCGGCGACCTTACGATCATGGAAAAACTAGGTAACAACCCTGTGAGAGAGTTGTGGTTTTTGCCATCAAACCTTGTAGAAACGCGGGTCGTCTCTTACCTTCCGAAATTTTCGCTTCTTCGCCAGCGGCGGCGCGTGCCACGCGATTTCAGGTAGCGAGCGGGTGTGCGTACTGTTGGGGACAACAGGTATGCATTATTTTCTGATCTACTCACCAGAGACATCCCGTGACCTCCATTTGGTGTACATCAATTGGACCAAACTGAAGCAGATCCAGGGAGATCATCGTTTCCATGGTAAACGCTTCCTCCTCAAAGACAAGTGCCTGTTGGGACTCACTTGCGGTAGCGTTCAGAAGACTCAGGTGTGAAGGCTTCAGGGTACGTGTGAGCCGCTCAGTCTTTATCGATGACCGCCAAACAACTGCGACGGAAAAGTCAGCTGGTTCAGGTAACGTGTGGACGATTGGACGGCGTTCGCCACGCTTGAAGCATCCAAGCGAGGACCTCTCCTCAAAAGCAGACACACGGGAGATGCTTACTTCGACAACCGACTTCTCACATGAAAACTTGACATCCTTCTCAGAGGCTTGAAGGTGTCTTGGAATGACCTGATGCCCGCCTATACGGCGCAGTGCCCAATCTCATTGCACATGTCAGGTTAGCCGAGAGAAACGCTGACCAGTGCATTGTCTGTGAGGAACATCTCGCTTGAGAATTATTCCTAGAAGATGCTGAAAACACAGTGTCACGATCTCTTCATCACGACCAGAACATGCATCCAAGACTCCTAGAGGCAACTGCAGTAAGGCCTTCTATATCCTGGAACACAAAGGAGAAGGCTTTTTGAACATGAAGGATGCCGAGACAATCTGGGTCCTCGAGGAGAATGACGTGTTCATTGCCAGAAAAGTGTCTGGGTGGAGTTTGAGATTCGGAGAAGAAAGGCAAGGGGAAATCCAGAAGCAAAAGGTAGACACCGATGAGGTGGCTTCAAACCCTTACGAACCACCTGGGCCAGCGTGTTTCTTGAAAAAGGTTCTTGATCTGTGCGTGTGAAAATCTTGATTCAAGAGATTTGTGTCTGCCTCCGCAGGTTCCTTTCAAGCGTGCTTGGCCTTATTGTGAGACGACCTCAATTTGCACAACGCTGTCATGCTTGAGCGTTTCCGAAGAGCGAGAGCGGATGAGCCTCCGCCGGAACCTGATCCGGCAGAAGAACACGAGAAGATGGCAGGAGAGAACGAAGAGATGCAGGATGCCGAAGAACCACCAGAACTGGAAGAACCAAAGGAGTCTGATGAAGAGAGTGAACCCAAAAAACACACCCAATCATGAACACGAAGAGACGATTCCGAGCAAAAAGAGGCGCCGACGGATGAGTTTAGCACCACAGCCACTTGATTACCATGCCGATGATTCTGACGATCCACCAAGACGAAAAACTTGGTATCATGCAACTTCCCAAAATGACTTGGTTTTACTACAAGCTTCATCTCATTAATACAGTTTGGCCTCAACTTCTTGTGTTGTTTTCCTCCAAACCAACGCGACCATTGCGAGAGCAATCAGGGTATTCACGGTGTTGAGTTCTTCAAGATATGGGGACATGTTGGAGAACGGATCTGGGTTAGAACGGATCTGGGTGCTCCTTGGGAATGGTGTCCAACCAAATACTGCCATCTGATTCTCGTTCGTGCCGTTTGCTGAACCTGCAAGCGCTTGGGATATTTGCTCCTGAAGAAAAGAACCAATTGCGCGGTTGTCCATAGTCTACCGCTGTCTCGCTGGAATACTCTTGCCAGTTCCTGCGAAAACGATGTGTCCGTGACATGTCGGCTTCTCCAGTTTAACTGAATACCGTGGAGATGACTTGCGTGTGCCACGTCATTGGATTGTCTCGCATCATGATCGCGGTGTCGTTAATAGATTTCTTGTAGTCGCCATAGTTGTTGAGGGTATTGTCATATGTTGGGGGACTCATGATTCATGCAGCTATTTTCGATGTGTGCAAGGTAGGGTCAGCTACACAGATGAACCAAAGGGCCCTCCACCAGCAAAATCTGGACAGCGGAGCAGGGGGATGAACTTCGCGAAAGGATCCGTGCGCAACAAGGAGGTACGAGATATTGCCTCCATGCAACCCACAGTCAAGCAACACGCGGCCGACAAGATTCTCATGACGAAGCGCCAGAAACATGACATCGAGAACCAAAGGCCTACTAGGTCCAGCAACCAAACCAGCTCCTCAAAACAAGGACGAGAAGGGATTCACTCCTTGGAAGGAAAACCGAAGAGCAAGTCAATGCCAAAGCTTTCAGGGCCTCAGGGAACTATGCCGAACCGCGATCACGTCGTTCCTGCGGTATGCAATGACTTTTTGGGCGAAGAAGATTTTAACGCCAGCAAACTGGCTCATGCGACAAATGACACAGGACTGCAATCATCCTTCGGGGAAGGACACGTGATTCCGGGAAGTCACCGACCCAAACATGGAAGGATACATAACCGCTTCGTAGATGTTGCGGATGTTCCCTGAGAACTGGACAGTGGTAGTATCCAGGTCAGTTCAACACCCACGTCGAAGAGATCAGCAACAGAAGCAACCTCCTTCCGGAAGGGCCTGGCTAACGTTCAGATCCTCATCTTCCAAGAACAATCGCAAAAATCCGATCTGCAGAAGGTTTCCTGGTCCAATGCTTGGAGTTCGTGGAGTAACTGGAGCAGCTGGCGTTACAACAGCGAGTGGGGAAAGGGCGATGATTCGACGATGAGCAAGAGCGATCCCAAACATGCAAACAAGAAGACCATTCTCGGACTCTTCGACAAGAAGCTAACGACCTCATGGACAGATTGTCAGATGTGGACTACAAGGCAAACAAGAAGAACCCGAATTCTTCGGGAGGACTGTCCAACCTTCAGATGGAGAACATTCGTTCCCTCATGTGACAAGAAAAAGAAAACTACAACTGTTACATGGAGAAGGACAAGGGCAACGCAACTTGGAAACTTGGAAGGAGTTCTTCAGCCACCAATCTGAAATCGGCTATCCAATTCGGCTACCCCATGGCATCCAGCAACTTGGTTCGTAGGACAAAAGCAAGAAACGAAAGGCGTATCTTGAGATTTTGCAACATGTCTTCCAAACGACGAAGACAAAGCGCACCAGAACCGACGATGAAATGGAAGCAACTCAGACACCCGCGGCCCGACTCAACATCCTCGCGAACCTCGGGCGACAGCGAAGTTGCCCTGGAAACAAGACGAGAAGAAACCTGGATGGTCCGCAATAACTCAGAACATGTGCTATGCGTCCAAACCCCCTTGTTCAGCAATTCTTCACCCAGGCTGGCTACGCGGAGGATGCCAAGGAATCAGATGTTTCAGCCAGTCAGGTATCATTTCCGCTGGTACTGGTGATGACATCCCCAAATATGGGCCCCTTGGTCATCTGCTCACGGGTGTGTTTGTTGGGAGGCCCATCTTGGTTCTGTCCAGTGGGGCAAAAACGGGTTTTCAATCCCCAAACCCAAAGCCCCCCAAACCCCCCAAACCCCCCAAACCCCCCAAACCCCCCAAACCCCCCAAACCCCCCAAACCCCCCAAACCCCCCAAAAGAAGCCAAACCAAGCCAAACCCCCCAAAACCCCCAAAACCTCCGCAACCACCGCAACCACCGCAACACCCCCAAACCCCCCGCCCCTCGCAACTGCAAAAAGACCTTGATGGAGTTCCTTGTAACTGCTCGAACATGCTTGGTTTTGTTGCTATGGGAACACCGACCTTTGTTGCAGGGGCAAAACACTAGCCGCTGCTGCCTATTTACTTGGTCCTGCCACGCCCAGCTGGCAACGCAACAAGCCAACATTCAAGCCCAAAGGGGCTGACAAAGATGAGTTGTCAAGAAGAAAAAACTGTTGAACCGGTGCCGGGAGCCATCTGCTTTGTCTGGCTGCCGCCAGCGCCACGAATGCTTCAAGTCAGTCGGGCGACCGGGGCGTGCCAGCTTAGAACTTTGCCACGCCAGCCACTGATGCTTCGTTGCTGTTGAGATGACTCCACCACGCATCAGGTGTGGGATGCCGCAGAGTGTGGGGTTTCCACGGGTCCTGTCCGAGCTCTCGTTGCCGTGCAGAGCGCGCGCGCGGCAACCCGCTCTTTTTGGGTGGAGCTGCCTGACAAAGTTTCGTTGCGCGCAAAGAAGGTTGGCCTGCTGTCCAGCTCCCAGAGCAGACCGCTGCCCGTCATTGCAGTTTGTTGTTTGCTAGTTTTCTAGTTTGATGCCTAGCTTCGGAACTGAGATTCCGTCTTCGACCGTTAGCTAGTTGGCGCTCGCAGTCAGCGCGCCGGCCAGCCAGTCAGTCAGTCAGACAGTCAGTCAGTCAGTCAGTCAGTCAGTCTGTCTGTCTGTCTGTCTGTCGGTCGGTCGGTCCATCAATGGTCACTTTTCTTGCCAGAAATTTAGTCAGTCAGTTGGCTGGTTGATGTTTTTGGCGGGTTGGTTTGGTTGGTGGGTTGGTTGGTTGGTTCGCTGGCCTGTTTGTTAGTTGGCTGGAATTCAGCGCTTGGAGCCTAATTTTCTCAAAAGGCAAACCCATTTCGGACCTGTGTGGGATCTCTGTGGACTCAACCACCAATGGTGAACCCGCGTCGGACAAAAGCTCAAGTCAGCCAGCTATCCAAAGAGCTAAGGGAAGTTCCACGCAGTGTGAAGTTTTGCAGGCTACAGCAAATTTTGGGAAGCAAGATCTGCGTTGTGATTTTCCACGTTCATGTGGAAGGAGCCCGGGGCAGAGCACCTGTGCATGGTGATGTCACACGCCGGGAACGACCTTTTCAGCTGGCTTGGCAGGACCGGAAAGGCTGCAAGGCAGTTAGTTACCTTCTGGTTGCACTGGGATGCTTGGCCAGATTGTGTTGAGTCATCCAAAGAGCAGATGTAAGGGCCCAACGTGCAAAACCTTGCTCCTTGCCGCCTTTTTGGCCAGGACTACGGCGCGTGGCCGAGAGGAGTCTGCCAGGCCAATGGCTCTCCAAATCTTTAAGGCGATTGGCTGGCGCGATGATCCGCCATGCAAATGTGTTACGTGGGGCGGGGAGGAGCAAGTTTGATGGCATATTTGCATTCCGACAATATGTTGGATGTCGAGCACCCCCAAGTTGCCAGTTGCGCTTTTGCAATGTGACTTTTTCCCTGAGACTCCGAACGCTTGCATGACACGGGCCCCTTGAAGAGGAAGCTGATCTTCCAGCTGTCTTGTCACAGATTGCTTTGCTAGCGAGAGGAAGTAAGCATATTTTTCATCCTTGCCAAGCTGCCTTGCGGCAGTCACTTTTCTGGCCAGATCACGCAGAAGATTCACAGTTGTGGGGTGGGCCACGGCGATCTGAGCCTCGAGCTTGGAGGGCTAAACTGGGCTGCGTAATGGGACCTTGGGGCTGACGCGCACACACACACATTTTGCTTGTGTCACGCATGTCATTTTCATTCTTGATTGGTGCGTGAGGAACGCACGCCTCTTTGTGAGCGGTTTGCCGGATGCTTTGCCCGGCTGCCTTCCGTAAAACGAAATCTTGTGTCTCCCAGCTTGGTTGCATCGTCATGGTGGGTTGTTGTGGGCACGCTGCGACGGATTCCGACGGAAAGCTGCTTCCAAGATGGCTGCTTCCACGGTGTGTGAGGCCAAATGGTGTGCAGCTACGCTGACGTAATTTTCATGTTCCCATGCAAAGAAGCTCTCCGAATCCAACAGCCCGTTCAGGTGGAGGCCCCGTTTTCATTTTCAGAGGCCCGCTTTGAGACAGGGCAGTGTCCGTTGCTGCTTTTGGACACTTGTCGAGTGCAAGTCTGGACGTGTGAGAGGCTGAGGAACTGGTATTCAATAGTCAGCTGTGGAGCTTCGAGCTGCACTTTTTACATGCAACTCACCCATCAGAGGCTTCAGAGAAAGTTTCAGCTTAGACTTCATGAAGCCACACAGGGCTTGTTCCTGCGTTTAGGGACATGTACTTCAATTTTTCACGCCCAAAACAGTATCATTGCGGCAGATCCTGGACCATGGCACGTGCCGCTTGTCCTTCAACAAAGGCCTAGGCGGCCAAGCTGGAGGTTGTGTGCAGGTGTCTGGTTGTGGGTCAAAACTTGGGGTTGGCGGGTTGCTTGGATCTCTCTGCTGCATTGCTTGGCTTGCGGGCTCTTCTGCTTCGGTGCTGCTGCTCCGCTGCTTGCCTCTGCTGCCCCTCGGGCTTGCTGGCGCCCTGTTTGGTTCGTGCTTGTGCCGGGCGCTTTGCCCTCGGGACTGGGTAACTGGTCTTTCCTTTCTTGTTGGTGGGTTTGGGCTCGTTGGTTACTTCCCGCCACTCAGGTTATCAGCTGTAGGGCCTGCAGGCGCCGACTGTAGATCTCATGGCCGACGCTTCTGAAGGCTGACGCTTGGTGAGTGGCTTCTTGACCAGGCCGGAATGGCTGTCAAAGCTCTGGCATTGAGCAAATCATTTTCCCGGAATTGGTGCACCGTAGGGGTAGACCCGTGCCACCATAGAGAATTTGAGAGACATAATGTGTGTAGCGGTGTTTGAAAAAGGTAAGTTAGATTGGAAGCTGTGTGGTCGTTAAGTGATACTCTTTCACTGGCCTTGATTTTTCCAGGTGCTCCGTCCGCTTTTCCATTTCTCAATTATTTGGGGTGCCCCTTCCAGGGGTGCCCCCGCTCCGAAAAAGGGAACGCTCAAAAAGGCACTCTGTGGAATCATGCAGCAAGCAGACGAGTTTTTTCGAAGTTCTTCACTCACCGATGACCTCTGTAAACTTTGCTTTTCAGCTTGCCGCGGTCACCAAATGTTCCTCTCGTACTAACCTCGCATACTGTCGCATTCGTCAGCCCCACCCACAATCGTGGCACATCCTCCCCCATGGTCACTTACCTACCCACTGGGAGCAAGCCTTACGCCCGGCCCCTTGCGTTCACATGATGTTATTACATGATCATGAATCATGACATGACTTCTTTCCAGACACAGGCTGCCTTAATCCAAAATGCTTGCTGGGGCGCAGTGCCGTGTGACGTTGCTCGATCCCATCCAGACGATTGCGCGTAATCCAGCAGCGCAAGAGCTGAGAGCTTTTTTCGTGGATCTGCGTTGCAGCGGCGCGTCCCTGAGATGCCTCGACTTCCGGACACGGCCACGTCATTGACCCTGAACTGTCTACTTTCTGCTGGCTTATCCCTGAATTTTTTCATGTCCTTTTCACGTCTTGTCATCTCACATGATGTCCTAGTCACTTCTCCTTCCATATCTTTCAGATCCCCCTTCATGTCCCTGTTATTTTCACGGCATGTCTGCTCCAGTTTCCATGTCCCGTTCTTTCGTTCCCTAGGTTTGAAGGTGAAGAATATTTCACCTACTCATGGAGCTTTCAGTTCACGATCTGCATCGAGACAGTATCTCCAATCAACGGAGTGTCAACTCGCCATCATTTCTTCCTATTGAACCCAAGTGCCACGGTCAGCGGCTAATCAAATATGCTCAACCCGGGCATCAACACTAAACATCCGAATGGGATGAGCTGAGCGGGAAAATCTGCATGGTTCTGACAGCGCAAAATGCGCCAAGGGAACCCGCTTGTCTGAGCAAAACTCTCGCCCCGTGTAGGATGAGCTTGACCTTATTGTCAATACTGCCGTTTGTTGCGGGCACTCCAGGAGTAGACGTGTGATGCCACGCAGCGAGTAGCCGCTCCCTGGCCTGGTCCGAATATACAAGACCAATATTAGGTTCGGGGCCCCTGAATTCATGGAAAGCCTCGGCCGTATCTGGGACGGAGCGACTAAGCACATACAACATCTTTTTTTTAAATGTTGTGGTCGTAGAAGACCACGGCGTCCGATCCTTCAAGCTATGGAGCGCCAAAGTGTCAACAGTTGCTACGTCTCCGAGCTTGGCACAGTCGTGTGCCTCTGCCCCACCTTTGCGGAATAGGTGCGCGTGCTCCGTGTTTGCGCGTTGGCAATTTGGACAAGAAGGACTTGTAAGAAGTTGAAATGTTTTAGCCTCCGCGCGCAATTGTTCCTTCAGGACGCTTGGATTCAACAGCTTCACAACCCTGGTCACGCGCTTCGGCTTCCGAAAAAGCAGCAGGGTATCTAGCATCAGTCTATGCAAGTGCAGGATCAGGCCATCACAGGTCTTCTAGATAGTTAAGGCGTGTGGTTGATAAGGTCTAATATAACTTCCCTGCCAGAAGGACGTTTGAGGATTGGCGTTTCATGCGCTTGCCGTATGAAGCTGTAACCATATCCCCACACATCCTCGCCCAACGAGGGCGTATTGTGCGTAACAAAGGCCTCGATGTCTTCATCAAGCGACTCTACAGATGCATCAACTCTGCCTTGCGTCCCAGCAACTGCATTCGCGGTTATGGTGGGGAGTTGGGACGTCATGCGTGCCAACTTGATCGAACGAACACTTCGTGTCTGCCAGCCCTCGAATCTCGGCTGCCGCAGGAGCACATGTTCTTGAACAACGCGCAAACTCTCCCAAGCGCAGTAGCGTTTGCTACGAGTAGTCATTCTGGCGTCTTCCTATGAATTGAGACTCTTGACGGCTCCTGTCATTGTTCTTAATTGGCCTGGTCTCACGGGTGTGTCGCATGTTATCAGCTTCGTAGGCGATGGGATTACCATCAAACTGACGGAAGTTGAGAGCTTTGCCTTCACTACCCTTGGAAGTTCGAAACTTCTGCCCTTCGTTTTTGCTTGGTGGGCAAATAATAGCCGAAACGACAGACTTTCGACTTGACATCGTGAATCGAATCCTTCTACAGACAACCCCATTATTTCTGCACCACCTTCATGATTTTTGACCATTTCATAGTATCTTTAGGATGTGGAAACCTAGAGCAACACACTTGTGCAACCGCTCGCCCAGACTCAGCAGCAGGGTTAGCGCGTTTCAAAGATTGCACAAGACGATCAGGGAGCTTTTCCTGCTTGTGTGTGCATGTATCACGCAAGCGTGCCCCACACACCACCCACTGTGCGCAGCGCCTTGGGATCAATGGAAGAAGGTTCTTGCGCTCAGAACTTCCCGCCCATTGTGTGCACTCTTGACCTTGCAAGCGACCGCTGCGGGCAAAGCTTTTCACAGTGACCAATGGAAGGAGGACTGGGAGTTGTGGGTCTCGGCCTGTGAGGAGCGTCATGCCTCGGGTCGGCGTCCTCTTCCCATGCCCTTGGGTGAATTCCTATCTCTATGCGGGCTACGGGTTTTTGACATGCCCTCTCAGGCAAGAGTCTTGTTGTAGAAGCCCTTGTGCATTTTTGCTTGGTTCTTCCGCAACCTCCAGCAGTCAACCTCCGCCTTTCGTCTAGCACGAAGTTCCTATCCCGCTTGCGTGTCGTGAAGACGCCGAACCTTTTCACTGCAGTGATCTTTTGACTTTTGACCTGTTCAGACAGAGGCTCATCCAAACTGGTCAGAATATGATCTCACTTGGTCATAAACTTCTCGGGGCGTTCCTTCTAGTAATATGGCGCCCCAAGGATGTGATATCTAGACTCTCTGGGTGAATTGACTTAGCTCGTTCGTCTTCGGCAAGCCAAACTCGTAGCTGAAGGCGTTGCAAGTTGTTTGCTTCATAACGGCTGTGCCGGTCTTGGGCGGGAGCTCGGTTGCAATAGACCTGGTGGCAGCTGTGCAGTTCGGGTCATGATAACCCATGTTTAAACCGGCGGTGTGCGCGAAGAGGTTCGGTGGCACTTGTTTGCCTGCTCCTCTTGAGAGCGCGCAGGTGGGACTCGTCTTGGATGCAGAAGGTATGCAAATGTCGCACACCATCCGCGTGCGCAATCTGCACTCACGTATCCGATTACAGCCACGCTTGACAGGCTGGGTTGCGGTCCCTGTGGGTGTGAGGGCAGGCCCCTGTAATGGCCTCCGCGTTGATGTAGTCCATTTTGCACGGGGGTAGGATGTGTATGATGGCGTTGACCGCAAACCATCCACTAATTACCAAGGCTGAGCCCACACCACGCGCCCAAGCCCCAAAGCCTAAAGAAAGCTGACCGGAATTATAAGAGACACATTTGTGCTTGAGGGCTGCGTTGTGCCAGATTTATTTAGCGAGTGGTTCCCTTGAGCGCAGGCTCACCGGCGCTTCTCGGCCTGCAGATCATGCGGTTGTACCCTGGCCCAGGCCCATCAATGCGATCGCTGATGATCTTATGGGCTGGGGCGCTCTTGTCGCTGACGACCTGAGTGGGCCTCTTGACACTTTTGACAAGCTCCGTGCCACCTTGCAGACTGCGTTCCATGACGTGGATGGTGTTTATGGACAAACGGACTTGCGTGTCAACGGTATCTTCGGTGCCATGATCATGTCCCTCATTGTGGCAGTCCTTGCAGAGAATGCGGCTGCATATTTGGCACAGTTTCTGCCCAAGCGCGCGTGTGGCAAACGCAGCAGGATCAGTGTTCCAGTGTCTAGTCTTGCGCCTTCAGAAATGGGGTTCGGGGCGTTCAGCAGAGGTTGTAATGAAGGGCGTGTGAACTGTCCTTCTTCCCCAAACCCTTTGACTCCTTGCACTGATTCAGCAAATTGCTCTCCTTGTTCCTGACCAGGAGGAGCAAGCTGTGTTGAGAATAGAGATGACTGACGGTGTGAACCATTTCCAGACCCAGGCAGCTTTTCCTGGGAACAAGTTAAAGCATTTGCAGGTGGTCTGCATGCGTGACGAGTGTGAGCAGCCAGACCTCCAACCAGCGCCAAGCTGGGTGGGGCAAGTTCTGGGAACATCTTCAAGGGGTTGCGCACTTGCTTGCAGCGCACCATTTCAAGGAACTAGCGCGTTGTGTGAAAGTTTGAGGAAGCGTTGGCGTCACAATGCCGCCGAAAGCTGGCAGGTTGTAGCCATATGTTTGGACCTCCTTGTGCCAATCTTGCCGCAGCTGTGACAGGTGTGGTGGTGCTTGCTCTGCCTCAGAAGTTGAGGCGGCGCGTAAACCAGAGTTATTCATCAGCTACTTGCACATGGTGCATGGGCTCCACCAGCAGCTTCGCAGGGTAGAGCAGGGGCTTGAGGGCTTTGCGTACCCAAGTGGAGGATGGTGGTCATCAGGCTGCCAGGACAGAGGCGCCGCAACGAGGAACATCGATTGCTCTTTCAAACTTGCAACAGGCTTTGCAGGAACTCATGGTGTTGTGTTCAAATCATATGCTTTGGTAGCTGCCCTTGTTTACGACATGACGCTCTGCCTTGCCCTAGCAAGGAAAGGCAGTCCGCAGGGCTGGCTGCCGGTTCATCACGATTATGATGGATGAGCTTGCTAGCAGAGAGAGCTTGTGAGCTTTGCTGGGGTGTTGCATGAGGGCTTCCAAAAGTTTGCCTTCTGGAAAAGGCTCCCTTGGCATCTCTGCGGTCACCACTGGCCATCAACAGCCCGCGCAGTCGCCAACCGCTGCCTGGAAGAGTTTCAGGAGGAATCAGCCACCCGCCGGTGCAGGGCGTTCACCGTGATGCCCAAACATGTCTGACTGGGGCTTGGTGACACAAAGGTTCTTGGAACCTTTGCACCTTCAAACGGCCACGAAAAAGGCAAGGGTCCCAACGTCTGGAACCAGGGGGGCAGTGGAAGGGCGACTACTACGTTGCTGATCTTGAGCATTTTTGCAACTGGCTTACCCGGCCTAGTGTTTGTCTGAAAAGGGATATGTTTGTCCAATGTTGGCTGCGTATGAGCAGCTCACTCGAGAAGCGCACTTCCTCGATACAGGAGAGGGAGAAGGAGTTTGCAAGGCAGATTTATCCGCCGCACGTGTCGGACGCGTGCTGCCTGCACAGATCCTGGGGAAGGCCGTCATGCTGAGGCTAGTGTAGAAGATACAGTTTTCCTGACGCGCCACCCACGCCGGTTGGAAGGGATTATTTGGTTCAAGAGATGAGGAGTCACACGTCTCCCGATTGATGACCAGCGTGTCACCCATCTAATAAAGTATCTTCACTCTATGAAACAAAGCATTGTGGGACCAGGTCAGATCTAATTGGTTCTGGGCCGGCGCTTCCATTCGAAAATCACAAGGGTCACCTTCCCGAGCTCTACTCTAAGTAAATCACAAGGAGAGGGAAGAGCGCAGAAAACGCCCCCTATTCAACATTTGGCAAGCCAACTCCATTTCCTCCGTTGATTGGAAAAGTATATCTATATATACATATATGTATATCTTGGAGTTGAGAGGGAAGAAACACTAACACGTGCCCATGCTGAATTCCACCCCTGTGCAGGGTTTGCGCATTTGAAGCGTAGGCGACCAATCGAGTTTGCGTGTGAGCCGGAGCTCAAATTTTTCGCCGGCAGGGGGGACGCTTTCCGCGTACATAAGGAATCGCTTGACGGCTTGCAGGGTCGCGATATGACTAGACTGATCGGCGATTTCTAAAGGGGACCCATCCCGCTCTGGAAAAAGACCCAGCAGCAAAGCTGGAGGTGGTGTTCAGGCTGTTGTGGGTCAGGGTTGGCGGGTTGCTTCGCTACCTTGCTGCTTTGGTGCTGCTGCTCCGCTGGTACACTGGCGCCTTGTTTGGTTCGCCAGCCGGGGCGCCGCTTTGGCCTTGGGACTGGGGGTAAATGGTCTTTCCTTTCTTGTTGGGGCTGGCTGGTTACTTCCCCGAAACTTTGTTTCAGACCCTTTTGCAGTTCCTGACACGTAGCCCTTGCAAGCCTCCTCAGTGCAGAAGTTGGATCAGTCCTCCGAGCTTTTCGAGCTTTTGACAACTGCCCTGTGTTAGCAAGGGATGCGTTTAGCGAGGCCTGGAGAACATGCTCTTGGCGTCCGAGGAGGCAATGAAAACACAGACGCTGAGGGTTTAGCAAGAAACGACGATAGTGGAGCGTGGGCAGCGGCCAGGGGTCATGGTACAATTGGAAGTGACAAGAGGATTCTTGAGTTTCCTTGCAAAGGTATAGCCAGTAAAGCAGGGTTTGTGGGCAGCCCTTCCATGGTGATACAACTCGCCTATGCAAACAGCGCTTGCCTGCAAATCCCAGTTAGATTGGCTGGCGAATTGGATTGGCAGCTGCGATCGCACGGATCCCCGTTGTCACAGATTGTGACATATTTCATTTGCCTGGCTCAGCGCATGGGAGGGCATTTAGCTTTGACGCACTTTGCACTTGCCGCATTAGCATTTCCATCGCTTGCTGATGTGTGTCGCATGGTAGCGGAGCCTGGTGGACCTGATGGAGTGTCGCAGTAAAGAAGGCAGACCAAAGAACCCTTCGTGGTCCAGAGGGCGCTCGGAGTTTCAGCGACGTCAAAGCGCGGCGAAAAGTGTCGTGAGGCATTTGGACCCGGAAGAGTTTGATGACGAGACTGGCCTGAACTCTTGGAGGTGCTGAGCCAGCTGGAGAAGTGGCCCCCTGCGGAAGGCCGATAAAGGGACGATGGCTGAGGAGCTGTTCATGGCACGTCGTGAGCGGGCTGGTGCTGATACCTTGGGGCGAGCGTCACCATCATCTAGAAGCCCATTCGAGGGAGCTGCCTTCTTGCACAGCCCTCCTCCAGCGCCACCAGATTGCATCCCAGCACCGAAAAAAACTGGCAGAGGACGCATTCAGATGGAAACGCTGGCTGGTCCATTGTCAAATTCGCAACCTTGCTGGTGCAACCCAAACTTAGATTTTGGCAGTGCAGAGACCTACTGGATTTGCATGAGCAGTGGAGGGAGTTTATGAGCGGCAAGGGCAAATCGCCAACATCATCCTCAATCTCAGGTCAAGGTGTCGAAGTCAAAAAGGGCTTGGCCCCTGCCTCATTTGTGGACTTCCCGAACATCGTTACATGACTTGCCCGGACAGGTTCTCAAGAGGGAAGAGAAGGAAGGGCAAGCCCGGGACGCTCTACCCGCTAGAGCTACAGAACATGCGATCGGAACAACTGTTTGCGTCGTTTCATGGGTCCACGTCCCAACGCATTCATCAGCCACACGCATGCACCACGAATAATTCAGCAGTCAGGAAGAACCCCACGCCTATTATGATCGTCTTCTGGAGATGAACAAGAAGGAGAACCAGCGGAAGGTGGAGTGCTGGGATACTCGGCCAAGCGGATCAATACTAAGCGCTCTGCAGAACGTCACGCCTCGAACACCGTCGTGGGTAATTAGTCGTCCATGACGGAATAGGTCTCCATGTCTTCGGGCTCATCCCAAAGCGGAGCAGCTTTTTCTTTTTCGACGATGAATGTTTGGTGCGCGCCAGGACGTTCGTCTTCTCATGAGCAGTCAATCAGCATTCTTGAAGTAGCTGATATCCTCTCGTCTCGTCCTGGAAGGTTGGCAGAGCAGAAAAAGGTGGCCCCGGACATCGCCCGAGTGTCGCAGATTGAGTGCGAGTGACGCGAAAAGCGCGGAGTGTTAGTTGCACTTATTGATGTGTGTTGCAGTGGCGGGACGATAAGGGGGATATTTTTTTTGAAGGCGCAGGCTCGTCTCTCTCCCCTTGATACCATTCCCTGATCCAGGTCCCCAAATCTCGGGCAAGCTTTTTCTAACAACAAACTCTTTTCTGGCGGGTTTTGGGGCCAACTTTTTGACCCTGAAATCTGGTACCGGTCAGGGTGCATTACGCTTCATCGACTTCGGCGCAGCTACTGGCCGCTTGGCGCGGGGCTTGCGTGGAAAGTCCACATTTCGGGCTCCGGAGGCGCGGGCTACTTTGCTGGCTTCCGATGGGTCTTGCAAGTTCTCTTGAGACTTTCTGCGAGTTGCCATATTCTTTAAGCTCCCAAAGGCAGACACTACCAAAGTCGATGTTATCGCAGCTTTCCGTCTCAAGAATACCGCTGTCTTCGAGTGTTGTGACGGCGCCTGACCCACCTGCAGCTGTGGAAATGAAGATTTTTGAGCAGAGCCCAAAACCGTTTCTGCTTGTTTCAGCAGAAGGATCCACTGGCTTCATGAAGGTTACGGGGAGGCTAGAACCATGCTGGGATGAAAGCAAAGTGTTGAGCGCTGTTGATAGTGCGCACGCCGGGTTCGCATCTATGTCCTTGCCGATGTCTTGTTTTTGGAGCCAGACACAGTCGTGATGATGATGATGCCGTTGGATGCATCACGCAGCCGGCCGCCCTCCGTCCTCCTAGCAAACCGTGCCGTCTTGGCTGAAGGCGTTATAGATTGGACTTGCTACTCCGCTGTTGTCGAATCCCAGTGCCTTGCGCGACGAATGTCTAGGTTCATCTCCGGGTTGTGCTGTTAAGGAGGTGTTTGCTGTTGAGCATGGAGCCCAGGCTTCCCCAGCGCTAGCAGAGCGCATGATGTGTGTATGTGTGCTTTCTATTCTACCATACTTTGATGTTCTCGCCAACTTTTCCAACATGTGTTTTGACAAGCCTGTTTTCATGCAGAACGGACCTTGTGTCGTACTTGCTTGGCCGCGTGCCGATTTACGGTCAAGTTGTGAAGGCACCCCGTTGGTTATTCTTTGGCACCAAAACGTGCTGCAGTTCTCATTGTACTCTCGCTCCTGATGATCAGGCCAAAGCGCAGAAAGAAACAGCAAGAGCGAGAAGTTCGAGCTTTCGCCAACTACACCACCAATGTTGGGCTGCGCTGGTCCAGACAAAACCCTTCAGAGGCCAAAGATACTGCCAAGATTAGCGAGTCAACGAGATCGCCTGGCTGATGACGATGAACGCGTTCCGGAAGAACTTTTTGTTTTATGGGTATTGAGCACGTGACGAGGGTGACCTGCTCTGAAACTTAAGTCGTTGATTCGGGGGAAGGGTGCTGTTGAAGATGTTTCAGATTACCTTATGTGTCAGAAGGGGACGCTAAGGACGGGATTGTTGATGCCGGGAAGATGGTGAGGACTGACAAGCGTGGAAGGCCTTATCCGATAGTTTCAGAATATTGAAGACTACGAGGCCATCTTGTTTCACTCCCGAAGAATGGGCTATGGCACGCAGCCCGAAGAAGAAGCAGAAGAGCGAGGAAGCGAAGGAAGCAATTCCTGCAGAGCAAACCACGCAATGGCAAAAGGATTCGTGGCATGCTCAAAGAAAGATGGAAAAGTCCTGCCGAAGCCAAATTCTTGGCAAGCCTGCGCATTATACTCGTCATCTATGAGTGGAGATTCACGCGAAAGGGAGATGGTGAGACTGTGAGCCAAAGATCGCACCGCGATACCGGGCGTCCGGTTCGAAGGCGAAGGTGATCAGTTTTAGATTATTCACTTTTTGTGATGCGGGCGAGGTTGGGAAACACCCCTGCAACGCCAGACCGGCAACTAAACAGAAATATGACCTGAGCATGCCTTGCGCTTTAGCTCAATTTATTCGCAGAGAAGTGCAGTCGGACGCGCGGAGCTGTTACAATCGCCAGGCGATGGAGTTGATGAAGAAGGAATGGGTTCATTGACCAAGGGGTCTGTAATCTATCTGCGCTTCTCAGTCACCTGCGAAGCAAGAGAGAAGAGCAGGGTGGAGACGCTTTCTCAGTTGAAAGACTTAGACTCTCATGGAAAATCCAAGGGTCGCGGCGTGGTGTCGGGGAACCAAGTCAAAAACCAGATCCTCAAAGCAGCTTCGTTTTTCGTTTCAAGATCTTGGCAACTCACCCGCTGCGTTTGAGGCATCCAGATGGGCTGATTTCCTCGGATGCCCCGAAGGCTGGGGTGTACAAACCGCATGCCGCACAAACCTATATCCAGTCAGTAGACTGAAGAGAGCCCTAAGCAGAACGATCGAAGGCGATGGCTCTGACTCCGAAATCGGTGGTGCCGATGGTGAGCGCAAGGCAGGAGGAGCGCTACGTTTGTACACGTGGCAGCAGGTCATGAACCGGTCGCATGAGACCCTCCGAGATGCTGATTGAGCCATGGCCGGAGTGTGCGGAGGAGTTGACCAAGCGGGGCTGCGGAGCACGCCGCGGAGTGCGGGCGATCAAGGAGATAAACCAGGCCGAGACCGGGGGCGACCCGACCATGAGCTGGTTCAAGAACGACGAGGAGCCGGACGAGAAATACTTCGACCCGGCGAACGCAAACTGGGAGTCCGAGACGGCCAACAGGCAGGGGCTCGCCGAGACAAGCGCCATGCAGGACGACGTCTGAATCTTCATGGTTCAGCTGATAAGCCCCTGCGTGTGGGGGACTGCAACTTTGGCGCAGCTCTGGATGGCCGAGTTAGACAATCTTCTGATGAGTAGCCGCTCTCTCAGGCATTGACCTGGAGATCTAGGGTGGCTTTGCCAACGTCTCACAACGCGCGCTACGACACGGTGGGCCAACCCATTGACTGTCTACATGGAATCGAGCTTCGGTCCCGGAGTTCCTTTGACACCATCCAAAAGCTCTTGCGAAAAAGAAGACTCTTCTTCATGATCTTCAAGCCCGAATGCTGATTGTTGCCAAGGCTCGCCAATTTGAACTACTTTTGGCAGCCAGGATGGCGCTTTCTTCCTCACCAAGGAACTCGCAGGACAGCGCCCTCTGAACCTTGGAATGTAGACCAGAAAGCAGAACCTTGCGGAAGTTCTGCCTCTTGTCAGCCTTGGTGCCACCACGAGCAGTGGGAGCACGAGCCTAGCTAACACCAAGATCGGACATGAAGCTCGCACTCTCGCCAGCGCCACACAATTCAGGAGCACTGAGGGCCCGAGGCGACGAACGCTTCATCCTGCCCAACAACAGTTTTTCCTGGTAGTCAGGGAGCCACTACACCACGTCCTCAACTTCAGCATGGTTAGACCAAGTCCTGGACATCAACAAGTAGCAGTCGTTTGCAGGAGCTGTGCGTCTGGTGCGTGGACGTGATCAGAGATAAGGAGTCCAGGAACCCGCTGCTGAAGGAAGCAATCGACTGTTTGGAGGGCAAGATAGCGACTTCGACAACGATCAAAGCTGCGCAGATGTTGCGCGCCGCCAAGGTCCGTCGCCTACCTGCCAGGCAAGCCGATCACAGAACGCTGAAGCTACGCACCACGTGAGTCTCAGCCAGAGACTATACAGGAGATGAGAGATCGAGAGGCGCATGATCTCCGAGGCCCTGGTCCATCGCAGGGTGCTACATGGCATCATAAACACCGAGGGTGATGGTGCTCTACCTCGATGCAAGCATTGTGCCTAGTCCTCTTCTACCACTCCCGCCACCAGACACGGTTGGTGCCGCTAGGCGCGGAGGCGATCGAGCGGAGTGGAAGAAGGCGCGCGCGGATGAATCCAGTTTGAGCGCGTCTCTACAGGCAATCGCCATGCCTCACACAACGCGATCAGGAATGCCCCAACCGTGAACGCCTTCCAGGTTTCGGGCCCAAGCCTCAGGTGACACGGCCTTCTATGATGACGAGGAAGGCATCGAAGCAATCTTCTAGGTCTTCCAAGCCATCGAGGGGGTTGACTTCCGCGCTGGGACCTGGGCAGAATCTTCGGAAGCGCAGCCACAGCCAGTGGCCGACGAACCAGGTCCTCACCGCCAATGCCAAGACCTACTGCTTGCAGTTCGGAGCCATCGAAAAAAATCTGGAAGCGGTCAGACGTGCTGCGGAAGGTGCTTGTGCGCCAACTTCGGTGAAGGCTTGGTTCGACGAAGATGTGGAGTACGATGAGAAGGCCAAAGCTTGGAGAACTACCGCGCTGGCAAGATCTACGGCTGGCCAGCCTTCATGGATGGGGTGAAGGTTGAGTGGTGCGAATGGACCAAGTGGAGTTCATGCGACAGGATGGCGGCGCCAAGTACAATGCAAAGTGGCAGGCAAGTCGGCTTTCTTGCAAGGAGAGCCAGACACGGTTGGCCGACGGCCATCTTCATGCGGCCTCCCAAGGACCCCTTGGCAGTGAGCTGGGGGCAGACCTTTGCTCTACAAGCTGAGTGCTGGTTTACGGACAAGCCAACACGCAGGCAGTGGTTTTGCGCTCCTCGGGCTGGGCTGGTGTCAATGCAGCGTTGATCCCTGCCTTTTCTTGTGCAAGGATCCGGCCAGCGACAATGAGATCAGCGGCGCCAAGGACGTGGCCAGGGAGCAGATGGCCGCTGACCAGAGTCACTGCGTGGCGGACAGGATCCTTCGCCGAAGGAACTGTTGTAGCTTCGGACCAGAAGCTGCTGTCTGAGTTCAGGCTCACTGCAATGGACGACACGCCGTGACCTGGTGGCCTGCTTCAGAAAGGTCGAGTGAGCTGAAGATCGAAGATCTTCGCAAAGTCAACCGCTCCTTGCAGTACGCCAAGGCCACGGCGGATACCAGCATCAGCGTCGAGCCGGCGCCCGCGGATTAGCTGATCTTGTGGTGTACGGGGATTCGGCTTTTGCAAAAGCACCGGCAGGCAAATCGCAAGGCGGCATGGTGGTGCTGCGACCGCGGAGGAGCTTTAGGAATTAGCAGGTGCCACGCTCAACCTTGCCGGCGGAAGCGGCTTGACTGGATTGGGCGGAAGACACTGCGAACTTTCTGGGATGTCTCGAACTATGTGGCCGCGCAGAGTGGGAAGTCACCATTTCCGGTGACTTCGGTGACGGATGCCAGATCGCTGTTCGACGCGATCCACAGGTTGTCAACAAGCTTCGCGGAGAAGCGGTTGGAGATTGACATCGTCGGCTTGAGGCAAACGTGCCGGGCGTTGAAGCGGCAAGAGGCGGCATCACCACCAAGCGATGCGGCAAGAGGCCGGAAATCAGCCTCTACGACAACGCGAAGTGGAGTGTC